CGCAGCCTGGGGGGAATGGGCAGGTGGTACCAATGCTTAGGAATTTATTTTAATTGAATTGTATTTTGTATGAATAAATGGAAAATAAAAAATAATAATAATAAAAAAAAAGAAACAAGAGAGAGTAAAAATAAGGGGGGAAAGGGGAGGAATACATGAAAACAGTTCTTAAGTTGAGTGACGTACAGTCTATGAGTTTGGTTGATGTTCCTTCCATTTCCTTATTCAAGTCTTTGCTACAAAGAGTACAAGGCCAGGGAAGAATCATAGAAAGTGTGATTGGAAAGGGTCTTACAGGTCATCTACTCCAACCCTTTGCTCCACTAAATTACACCTAACGGGTAGCTCTCCAGCCCTTGTTCATAAACCCCCAGTGAGGACAACCCACCACCGTCCTCACCTACTCAACACCTTTTCAGATCAGGAAATTCTCCCTTGTGTCCAACTTGACTTGCTTTCCTTCTCATCTTGACCTTCTTCTTCTCTCCTTTTGGTTAAGACCAAGTCTGCCCCTGTTGCATCAGACAGTCTTTGTAGACCATTCTCACATCTCCCTCTGTCGTCCTCTCTTACGAGCTAAACAGGGGTAACTCCCATCAATCTACACTCTGGATTTTTCTAGTAGCTCTCAGCTAAATCTGCTTCACGTCCCTTTTAAAGTGCAGCTCCCAGAAACGGGCATAATTGCATAAGTTGCATTAACAAAGAGATTCAATCAGGATCGCATGAGGTACTTACACCACTCTATAAAGCCTGAGTAAGACTACACCTAGAATACTGCAGCCAATTTTGGTCACCACGCTATACAAAAAAGATGTTGAGACTCTAGAAAGTGTGCAGAGAAGAGCAACAAAGATGTTTAAGGATCTGGAGGCTAAAACATAGGAAGAACGGTTGCAGGAATTGAGTATATCTAGTTTAAGGAAGAGAAGAACCAGGGGGGACATGATAGCAGTGTTCCAATATCTCAGGGGCTGCCACAAAGAAGAGGGAGTCAAGCTATTCTCCAAAGCACCTGAAGGCCAGACGAGAAATAATGGATGGAAACTGATCAAAAAGAGATTCAGCCTAGAAATCGGATAAATTTCCTGACAGTGAGAACAATCAACCAATGGAACAACCTGCCTCCAGAAATGGTGGGATCTCCATCGCTGAAAGCTTTCAAGAAGAGATTGGACTACCGTCTGTCAGAAACGGTGTAGGATCTCCTGCTTGAGTGGGGGGGTTGGACTAGATGACCTAGAAGGTCCCTTCCAACTCTGTTATTCTATCCCCTACCCAGAGAAGAACTTTCCTTTTGATAATCAAGATGGAATACTTTTGCAAAGGCAGTCAACACTGCAACAGGTTTTAATGCTGCTGCATCACGCAGTTCACTCATGATTAGCTGGTGATTGACTAGAACAGTGGTTCTCAACCTTTTTTATGCTGCGACCCCCAACCGGTCGTAAGTCGAGGACTTTCCCTGCCTGGGAGCGCCATGCATGCGTGGTGCCGCCCCCTGCGCCGGCTGAGGCGTAGCTGGCAAGCGGCAGAGATGGCGCAGGCCGACCACCGGCTGGGCTACCAGCTGGCCCAGCCCAAGGGAGGTAAGGCACCCGCCGGGCCCCACGCATGCCAGCAACCCTCCCTGCGCCCGCCGGCCTCCCACCTCCCACCTCTGGCCCTCTTTTGCTTACATTTTTAGTAGTTGCTCAGTAGGGAGGGGTGGAAGCTTCCAGACAGCTCACCTTCGCTGCAGACAACTTGCAGCACCGTTTGCAGAATGGGACTTTTGGCGGGCTCAGCAGGGCAGAGACAGCCTGGACAATTCCTGTTGGCTTTTGAAAGCCAATAGAATGAGACTCTATTCAAGAGAGTCTATTCTATTGGCTTTCAAAAGCCAATAGAATAAAAGGGAGTAGCACAGCTAAGGAAAAGGGGGGAAAATGGCGGACTGCATTGTTTGGCAACCCCCGTGAAATGGTCATTCGACCCCCAAATGGGGTCCCGACCCACAGGTGGAGAATCGCTGGACTAGAATCCTAGATCCTTTCCCCAAGTATCTCCTCCAACCAGACCTTTCCATCACCATCCCCATGCATTTTTTTCCCCCAGACCCAGATGCAGGAGCTTAGGTTGGTCCCTGCTGTCCATCATTCTATCAGCATTAGCCCAACGGTCAAGCCTCTCCAGGCCCTTTTGAATTGTGACACAGGAGCATTGATGAACACCCTTTGGGTGCGATTGTTCAACCAGTTGAAAATTTGCTCTGCCACTGTACCTTTGGACCCACATCTCACCATCTGTCCAGAAGAGTCTCATGAGAGATTTCATCAAATGCTTTTAAAATGGACTGCATCCACAGCGTTCCCTTGGTTTACACACTGATGAACCAAAAGGGGTTCAGATTAGGCAGGCACGAGGTGTTCTTAACAAATTTATCCAGTGGAACAGCTGGCCACCAGAAATCATGGGCGCTCCATCACTGGAGATTTTTAAGAAGAGACTGGACAATCACCTGTCTGAGATGGTATAGGTTCTCCTGCTTGAGCAGGGGGCTGGACTAGAAGACCTCCAAGGTCCCTTCCAGCTCTATTCTATTCTATTCTATTCTATTCTATTCTATTCTATTCTATTCTATTCTATTCTATTCTATTCTATTCTATTCTGTATTCCAATATTTATTCCTATTCTCTTCTCTTCTCTTCTCTTCTATTCTATTCTATTCTGGTCTATTCTATATTCTATATTCTGTTCCATTCTATATTTCTACTCTATATTTCTACTCTACTCTACTCTACTCTACCCTACCCTACCCTACCTTACCCTACCCTACCCTACCCTATCCTATCCTGGTAACAGTAGTATCTTTTCTCAGTATCCCCCTGCATGGCAACTAGTATCTTGCTAATATGAGATGGTTAGATGGTGTGCAGCTTTCCAGCTCTTCCTCCTTCTCCTTTGGGTATCCTATAGAGCAGTGGTTCTCAACCAGTGGTCCTTGGGGGCCCCAATCTCATCATAGGGGGTCTGCAAAGTCTTGAAGAAAGGTTATGAGTCAGATCTTGAGTTAAGTCTTGGGGGTCCATGGCCACAATGCGTGGCCGCAAGAGGTATTTAGCGGGGGTCCATGTTGGAAAAAAAAGACTGAGCATTACTGCTCTAGAGAGGTTTTTTTTTTTTGAAATGTAGAGACATTATATTTCTGTCTCTTGAAGGAACAGATGTAAAAATAAAGTCTATTTTATGGCTCTTGACTCATTTTCAAGGCAAAGATGTTTTATTCCTGGCTGCCTATTAACGATCGTGCTGCATTCATAAAACAACGGTTCAGACAAGATAACTGGAATCAAATGTTCTCTCTCCTCTCAATATACCAGAATTCAGTCAAAAAGATTAACAGTGAGTTCAGAACAGAACACAATGCTTCCAATAAATTCATGGCTACTAAAAAGATATCACTTTCTGCTTATGGAAAACCTTAGGAGAATCAGACCTAAGCAAAAAGCCAGGAGAGCTAAATTTGGGGGTGGGGTGGGGGGCTTACTTTGAAACACTCGGGGCAATGATTGGCCCAGGATGGTGGGATTACAATTACAAGTACAATTACAATCCGCATTGGCGTTTACATTTGAACGGACATCTAACAATCCAAGGAGACCATTTTTTGAAAAAAAGCACAATATCTGTAACCCTTACCCCTAAAATGGCCTGAATCCCAATTTTCCTATTGCGGTTGGTAGCAACGTTGACATCTGAGAAAGATTGGATGGCGGTGCATTTTTTGCTTTTGTTATGTCAGGGTTCTCTCTGTCTGGATCCCATCTCAATTCTGAAGTGGAAGTTGTGGGGGAGGGATGATGCTAAGAAGATGCTCAGAAAGTGAGAAGAGCAAGGGAAGAATGGCAGAGATGCTACGGAACCGAGGAGAACATTTTACCCCTCCTCGCCTCCTTTTTATGGATTATAATTTTGTCACCCTTTGGACTGGGAAAGAGCACAATGTGCTTCCAACAGGGTCAGCCAGATGACCAAGAAGACCTTTGCGAGAAGTACTGGCTAGACTTTATTCCAGCTGTTGCAGATTATTTCCACTGGCATCGCTCGAACTAAGAGGCTGGTAGAGACGATTCTTCCCAGTCAAAGAGTAACAAAAAACCCAGGAATCAGGGGAAGACACATTCAGATGAATCCGACAGAGGAGATTAAAACAAGGAATATATTTCTGCTGAGGGGGGGGGAGGGTTTTTTTTCCCCGCCCTGGTCTGCAGAATAAAGCCATAACCCCGGGTCTGTCCGGCAGCTCCTGCGGAACTGCAAGACCTCAATGAGTGACATGTCCTCCACCGCTGATCTCTGGAAGGATTACAGATGTGCCACCACCTGCCTCTCTGCGCTATTTTTAACTTCCTCCGCTTACAGCTGCTGCCTCGCAGCCATTAGCACCTCTCTCCTTTTGGTGATGTATGGCTTCAATTATCTCCTCCCGGTCCTTCTGCTCCCATTTCCTCCGTTCGCGGAAGTTCAGCAAGCTTTCCTGCATTTAAGTCTGGGGTGGGGGGGTGGGGGAGAAGTGGTGGTGTGGGGGGTGGGAGGGAGGGAGAGCCAGGCAGGCACCCGCGCCGGGAGAAGGCAAAGCAAGGCAACGAACAGCGCGCTCCATGTAGTAGGACAGGAGAAACTCCTTGAACCCCGGGGTTAAGTTTGGGATACGAAACTGAGAATCTAGCGGTATAGACACACACACGCACACTCACATGCACAAACACAAACCCAAAGAGAGACACACACACAAGTAACCGCTTCGGCTTCAGACGCCTGTGGTCCGTGCCGCCCGGTTCCTCTGTTCAGCACCCTGGACAGCTCCGCCGCCGGACACCGACCGCTGCCTGCCTGCCCGCCTCGCAGCCATCCCGGCTGCGGACGAGCCCCGCGATCGCCCCGCTTGCGCGGCAGTCTCCGGGCTGGCGGGCTCTCCGGAGCCGGGAGCGAAGGCGGCGGCGCCGCCGGCTACTTACCTCGGCGTTCTCGCTGGCGTTCTCCGCCATTTTCCTCCGGAGGAGCAGGCAGCGGGACGAGTGTTTCATGCCCATAAGAACGGCCCTTCCCGCGCCCGCAGACGGCGCCCAGCCAGCGGCTCCGCTCTGAGCCAGCCGACCCAGCGCCACCAGCAGCCGCCGCCGCCTCCTCCTCCTTTCCCTCCACCTCCTCCTCTTCTTCCTCTTCCTTCTCCTCTTCTTCCCCTTCTCTTCTTTTTCCTCCTCCTCCTCCTTCTCGTCTTCCTCCCCTTTCTCTTCTTTTTCCTCCTCCTTCTCCTCTTCCTCCTCCTCCCCTTTCTCTTCTTTTTCCTCCTCCTTCTCCTTCTCGTCTTCCTCCCCTTTCTCTTCTTTTTCCTCCTCCTCCTCTTCCTCCCCTTTCTCTTCTTTTTCCTCCTCCTTCTCCTCTTCCTCCTCCTCCTGGAGCGACCGCCCTCCACCCGCCTCTCCCTCCGCTGCTTCTCCCCCGCAAGGTCGCTGCCTCCCTCGCCGCCTCGCTCGCGTGCGGGGCGAGTGGTCCCAGGCTGCCCCCCCCCGCGGAAAGGAGCCGAGCCCAGGAGTCCGCGTCCCCACCCCCCACCCACCCAAGGAAGGGGCTCGTTCCTTGGCCCCGCCGGACCGCTGTCCCGCGGAAGGCGCGTTGTAGCTGGAAAGCTTTCTAGGTCAGCTTGGCTGCCCCTCCCGGCTCCCTGCCGCGGACTGAGCCGCGCTCCTGCCTAATGGGAGCCTCCCCAACTCCGGGCCTGTCCCATCCGCCCCCTCGGCCAGCGTCCCCCTAGGCGACCCTCTCCCCACCCGGGACCTTTCTCTGAACCGACCCCGAGAGAGAGAGAGAGAGAGAGAGAGAGAGAGAGAGAGAGAGAGAGGGAGGGAGGGAGGGAGGGAGGGAGGGAGAGAGAGAGAGAGGGAGGGAGGGAAGGGAGGGAGAGAGGAGAGAGAGAGAGAGAATGGGAGGTTTCCTCGCCCACTCCGAGGAGCCCCCTCCTGGCCTCAGCCGGACCGGTCTTGCCGCTCTTGTCATGGGCAGGAGGCCGCTGTCCTGACTGCAGACCTGCAGGGTGTGATAATCCGGTTTTGGTCACCACGATGTAAAAAAGATGCTGAGACTCTAGAAAGAATACAGAGAAGAGCAACAAAGATGATTTAGGGGACTGGAGGCTAAAACATATGAAGAACGGTTGCTGGAATTGGGTCTGTCTAGTTTAATGAAGAGAAGGACGAGGGGGGACATGATAGCAGCCTTCCAGTATCTCAGGGGCTGCCCCAAAGAAGAGGGAGTCAAGCTCTTCTCCAAAGCACCTGAAGGCAGGACAAGAAGCAACGGATGGAAACTAAGCAAGGAGTTTGCTTAGTTTCCACCCGTTGCTTCTTGTCCTGCCTTCAGCTGCTTTGGAGAAGAGCTTGACTCCCTCTTCTTTGCGGCAGCCCGAGATATTGGAACACTGCTATCATGTCCCCCCTCGTCCTTCTCTTCATTAAACTAGACATCCCCAATTCCAGCAACTGTTCCTTATATGTTTTAGTCTCCAGTCCCCTAATCATCTTTGTTGCTCTTCTCTGTATTCTTTCTAGAGTCTCAGCATCTTTTTTACATTGTGGTGACCAAAACTGGATGCCGTATTCCAAGTTTGGCCTTACCAAGGCATTGAAGAGTGGTATTAATACTTCACGTGATCTTGATTCTATCCCTCTGTTCATGCAGCCTAGCACTGTGTTGGCCTTTTTAACAGGGACTGACAATGGGGAAAAGCATGTCATCAAATGCTGGCGTATTTCTTTCTTTGTGCTGCCTCGCTGGTGAGCATTTTAACTCCAAGAGAACATCTCCTATCATCTCCAACTCGTTCACTCGTTGTTAAGTGCTTCTCTGTGGAGCATTCCTATCCTCCTAGTCTCCTTCTATTTTTCACTGCTGTTCTGAAACGTCTCATCTTTCCGAGCAGTTTTCAGCTCCTCCTGCAGAATGGTTGGGTTAAGGCTTTCTAATTTGAAAAAAAGAAAAAAAAAAAAAGGGGGGGGCGGAATGTGTTGCTTTCCTGCTTTCTTATTCCAGCTTGCTCGGTGTCACGCTGCGGCCCAGGCAGGACAGCTTTCCAAAAGGATAAAACTGGACTTTTGTTTCCAAAAGCATCTCAACCGCCTTCCTGGGCGGCTACCGAAATCTCCGTGGAAAACATTTAAAGCGGGGCGATGCGCAAAGAATTTCTCAAGCCTTCTGCTCTCTCTGTTCTCCAAGTGCGCCTAAAATGTAAGGGGACCTCGTTTCACCTGGAACGAATTGCAGCTGCCCTATTTTGCAAGTCCCCTGCTCCTCCGAGGAACTAAGGAGAACGCCTCGCATCTTTCTTAAGGCAATAGGTGTGTGTGTGTGTGTGTGTGTGTGTGTGTGTGTGTGTGTGGTTCCAGCACTGTCCAGTGCATCTGCTACTAGGGAGGAGGAGGAGGAAGAGAAGGACAGCAACTGTGGGGTCTTTGGTGCTCTCTGAGCTTTGTGGTTTTGTTGCAGACGTTTCATGAGCCTAACTAGGTAACATCATCAGTGCTAGAAGGGAGTAGGGTTTGTGGAATGATGATGATGATGAGGAGGAGGAGGAGGAGGAGAAGGAGGAGGAGGAGAAGGAGGAGGAGGACGACTGTGGGGTCCTTGGTGCTCTCTGAGCTTGCTGGTTTTCTTGCAGACGTTTCATGACCCAAACTAGGTAACATCATCAGTGCTAGAAGAGAGTGGGGTTTGCGGAATGAGGAGGAGGACGAGTGTGTATCCTGTTTGTAAACAATCACAGGGGTGGGGGGGGGGAACAGAATGCGGGGGAAGGACAGACTGTCATAGCGACAAACTCCCTATCCCAACTGCTCTTTCTTCACCTGCTTCTAGATTTGGTGCTCCAGGCCATCCTTTTCTCCTTTATTGTGCGCCTTCTAAGTTTTGATCCGAAAGTAATGTGTGTTTTGTAGGTCACCCCCTTTAATGTCTAAAAGGAGGGAGTTTTCACCCCTCTCCCTTACTGCCTTTTCTCTCCCCCAACGAGTCCTGCTTCAGTGGGTTCTCTTCTGTCTTCGCTCCAGGCAGCGCACGCCAAGCTCTCCTCTCCAAAGTCCCCCCCCACTATTGCAAGCCATCCTTCTTCTCGTGCTGTGCTACGTTCCTTCTTAGACACACACACACACACACACACACACACACACACACACACACACACCCTGATTTCACTCAGTCGTCCCCAGTGAAGATTTTTGAGGCGAGAGGATCCTCGCGGAAGAAAAAACCATCTTTGACTGTGCTGTTAAAACACCGATTGATCTCCTTCCCTCGGAAGATGAGAGAGCCAACTGGGTCAGTTTAATTTGGTTTGATTTCCACCCTGCTTTTCTAGTGAGCTGAAAGCCTCCCAGCAGCCAGAAGCCTTAACATCTGATCAGAGTAGTAGACTACAAGCCTACTGATTACACCGGTTGAGGACCGGCCAGTGAAACCAGATGAAAGGTAAGAACATGGCCAATGTTGGGCTGAGGTGCACCTGGCCTGCTAAGCACATTCCCACATGCGCTTATCCCCAAACACATGACTAGGCTTTCTACTCTGTCCTGGATTCCAGGCAGGGCTGGGCCGGCTGAGCCAACTCTGCTGATCAGCCTAATTATCATTGTTATTTTGCTGGGTATTATTCTTCAAAAAAAAAAAAAAAACACCCAAAGAACTTGAATATACGCCCGACTAAAGTTCACCTGCCCAAAGCAACCGAATCCAGGTGGTCCTCAACTTATGGCCACATTCCTGTCACTAAGCGAGACAGAGGTTAAGTGAGCTTTGCCCCATTTTACAACCTCTGGCCACCATGGTTAAGTGAATCGCTGCAGTTGTTAAGTTGATGACATGTTTGTTAAGTGACTCTGACTTCCCCCCCTTGACTTTGCTGGTCAGAAGGTCGCAAAAGGGGGTCACGTGACCTCCAGGATGCTACAACCATCGTAAGTATGAATCAAGGTAATAATTTAACAGCTAACCAGCTTATGTGATGTAAGATATGATGATGGGAATACAAGGTCTGTGTCTCTTTAAGAGCAAGCAGGGTCTGTGTCTCTTTAGGAGCCAGCAGGGTCTGTGTCTCTTTAAGAACCTTTTTATAAAAGGGAAGGCTCCACCTATGTGTTCTCTCTCTTCTGTTTTCCTGCTGTAACTGCTGTGTGTTAGATCCTGCTGTATTAGCACGTGTATGTATTTTATTCCCGGTGTATGATATTGTAGATAGCGTAAGATAAACCACCATTTAATACAGACCACTGTTTACTGTGTTTACTCCTGGGTTATCTCAGCGCAGTAAGACTGTGCAGGCTCCGACAAGTTGCCAAGCATCTGAATTTTGATCACGTGACCGTGGGGGAATGCTGCAACGGTTGTTAAGTGTGAAAAAATGGTCATAAGTCACCTTTTTTTTCCGTGCCGTCGTTAACTTCAAATGGTCACTGAACAAACTGTTGTAAGTCGAGAACTACCTGTAGTAATGGGTGGGAAGATAGTGAAGAAAAGAGCCAACTTAGAACTAGGTGGAGACTAAGGAGAAACTTCCTATCGGTGAGAACTATCAACCCATGGAAAGGCTTGCCACCAGATGTTGTGAGTGCTTCATGTCGGCAGGCTTTCAAGAAGAAATTGGATGGTCCGAAATATTATAGGGTCTCCTGCTTGAGCAGGGGGTGGGACTAGAAGACCTCCAAGGCCCCTTCCAGCTCTATTCTGATGGTGAGTCAGTGGGGGTCCTACACTTAGAGGGCAGGAGATAGGGGTCCCTTCCTATTATTCAATGTTCAACGATATTTGCATGGCATCAACACAAAACGACATTTTATTCAGTATCTGATTTTATTTAAAACATGCTCAAATGCATAGTTAAATCATCAAAACAATAATTGTTTCCTTCTGGGAATAATCCACCCACAAACGTGCAGTTTGGTTACCGTACCCCTCGGGTCAATAGCTACGGACAGCTGTATCTTTGACAAGATGGACTCGAGAGGGTTTCACAACAGTTAATACTTAACCGTTTTCTTCGGCTGGTTTCTTGGTACACTCACCTTCCCTCCCTTGCCCCTTCCTCCAAATTTGGAGCTTATTTCTCCTTGCCCAACACGGCCCAAAGACCCAGCAAAGAAGAGCCCATCCCCTCTTCTACACCTTCCCTTAGGCCAGTTTCCCCCCCCCCCCCGAGAGTGGGACCAAATCTATCTTTTCAAGGATTTCC